AAGTATTTAGGTATTGGGATGCTTTCGTTTGATTACTCGGTGGGCTCGGGTTTCTTTTACTATGGAGGCTGGGTCGGAGGATTCGGAGGAAATGGATTGTGATAAGTGAAGAATTTTTAATGTGATAGTGTTTTGAAGCTGTTGTTGTACAATGATGAAATTATCAAGCTCGTATTCTAGTTCTTCATCGACGGGGCTAGAGGGGTCGGGTTGATGACTTGTCATTAGGGAGAGTATTGGGTTTGCGTCTGTGTATGAAGAAAAAGCTGGGGAAGTTTCATCGCAAGTTGGAGTGTAGAGTGGACGGAAGGGGGGTTGCGAAAAAGCGAACGGGCTCGGCTCGGAGTTCTGAAATTTACCTGGGGTGTCAATATCGGAATTATTAAACTGTGAGATGGTATGGAAAACTGTGTTTGTGGAATCATCAGAATCCATGCGTGGTGAATTAGTAGTGAATGAGGGTAAGGGAGAGGAAGTGAGGTCAGAAGTTGATATGCAGTGACGTTAGAGATTGGATGGGTAAGGACGGTCACGGTTGAGGCATCCAATCTGGCGGCTCATTGTGGGCTAAAAAAATGGTTGGTCTGAGAACGAAAACTGGTGGTGTGTGGCTGTTCTACAATTTGTTTGTATGTATCTTCTATATTCGGTTCATGAGCTACTATATGGGTAGCTGTGCTTTGTGGGTAGCTATGAATTGTAGGAATGTGCTCTGTTTTTGCTGTATTTCTATAGTTTTATAGTAGTAAAAATGTTGAATGGTTATTTTGAAATTTGAGTAATTGTAGAGCAGTAGATGTTGTATTTCTGTTGTCTTGTGAAGTATCGTTTGCTTTTGGTGTGGTTGATATTTTTTTGTTGTATTCGCTTATTCGAGCGTCTAATTTTTTTTTTAATTCATTGTTGAAGTCATACCAAAAATCCTGCAAACAAAATGCGTGCTACACTTGCTTGTTTGTTGACTTGTGTGTATTGCGCATGTGCTATATATTCTTTTTAAAAAAGAGATGAGAAATTCAAAAAAAAAGTACGCACAGCGTATAAGATAGTCAATTTTTCTAAGATGTAGTCGGGGCATCCTAGAAAGGCGAGAAGTTTGTTTTTGAGGTTTACAGAACTAAGAATATTAAATGGTGAAATATCTTGTGGACGGTAATTTTCACCGTTCAATTAAATGTTTTTTTTCTTCCAAATATCCGCTGTAGTCTTGCGCATAGATGTCTGAAAATCCTGCATTTTCGGCAAATTTTCTTAAATTTTGATCATTTGATTGTCTTTGAATTGTGTCCTTTTTTGTAGGAAGTTTTTGGAATTGTTGTGTGCGAATGTGATGTTGTATATCGGATCTGGAGTATATACCTATTGATTGTAATATTTTATTGGGGTTACGAACAATGGCTCTGATACTTTCTGGTGAAAATTTTTTTAATGATGGTATAAGTGTGGCGTATGGGGTGAGAAGATAATATTTGTCTTCCTGTGGTTTTAGCTGTATAATATTGTGGCTCTTTTCAGATCCACATGAGACGGCTGTATCACAAAATTATGTTCGTCTAAAAAGTGTATCGATCGACAAAATAAACTTTATTTTTGTAGAAAATAGGGATTCTTTTATAACACCTTTTATTTTATCTTCAAAAACATATAAGGGTGATACTTTGTTTGTAATCGATGAAACTTATTTTATTGCCTGATAAAAAATATCCTGAGTAAGGTAATTTTAATACTGCTAGAGCAAATGATTGTAGAATTTGTGTTCGTTCTAGTTCAAATAAGTGACGAAATGTTTCGAATTCTGATAATGATTTTTCTCAAAAAATTCAGCTAATTGTATAATCCAATTTCCCATCTAAGTGGATGTCATAGTGGATTCCACCAAAATAAATATTGTTCATGAGTGATTGTTCTTGTAAACGTGTGCTGCCTTTATCTTGTGGGCGAAGTTTTCCACCAGTCTTTTCTGTGTTTCTCAAAAATTTTACCGGGATGTATGAGGTTTCGTCACTAGAACTGTGGTACGTTGGGGTTGGGTTAATTATTAATTTTCTTGTATTCTGTCTCACCATCCGCTTTGAACCTTTTTCGTATTCGACAAGAAATTCTGAATATTTTGTTTTGTAAAGTGGAGTTTTTTATTTGCCAGCGAGTGTTGTTTCGGGATAGATTTGAAAAGAGGGTAATTTAATTTCTATTCCATCTTTAATGTTATAATGACTTCTGTTTTGTCTTATTTTATCCGGGCTTATCTTATCAAAGGGAATTGATTCAAAAAAAATTGTTATAAAATTTAATCTTTCTTGCGTGAATTATTGCAACTTGAAATGTGGTACATGTGCCTTCAGGGAAATAAGCGATAGTTGCTTGTGTTTTTTTAGTGGAAACGCAATAACCTTGGTAGTTTCAGCAAGGTAAGCGTTTTCCTTGATGAATTATTGTGTGGTCTCTTAAATCTCGTGTTAGGTGTACTTTTTCTAATTGGATTTTCCAATCAAAAAACAGTATTTTTTGATAACCATCATTTTTTGTGTCTCCTTTACAATTGGAAGGGTTGTTTATTCCGATATGTGGTATTCAATTTTTATCGTGTAGGTCATACGTTAATCTTTCGTGTGCGCCGTGGAACGGATATTTATTGTCTCATTTTATATGTATATTTCATGTTCTGCTTGATGTGCAGAGTCTGGAAAAACTTGAAAATTTACCAAATTTTGATTTGTGCCTTTAATGTGGTTAACTTTAATCGTTTGAGCTTGTTTTTACATTAGTCGTGGTTAAGATGTAAAAGTCTTTCTATGTTGCTTTGATAGAAAGATTCGTGTTTGAGTCTAATTTTGTTTCCGTTTGAGACTTGAGAACGGTGTACTTTTTTTCTTTGAAAAGGTTGCTGTGAATTTATATCTTGTTAAGGTTGTAGCTCGGGCTTTTGAATAAAGTTTCGCTACAATATTTGCGGTTTCTATTTCTTGTGGTTTGGAGGGAGGGATTTTATTGGGATGTTTGTTCTAAAAAATCAAAAGAAAAACAAACACAAAACACAAGAATCTGTTCTTAATAAAAGGAAACAACCAAAGACCAAAAGAGAAAAACACCTGATAAAAAACAAGTTGAACACAAAATGAAACTCTGCTCAAAGAGACGGTAAAATTATACTCTCGCAACTGGCCCAACCCACCAGTTGAGGACGTCCTGAGCTTGCTGTATAGCCGGTCTCATCATCCGCTTTGAACCACGCTTATGACACACACTCCTATTTGACGAGAGTAGTTCTAGGGTGAGCAACTTTTTAAAATAACCGAAACTAAACAAAACGCTTCTGCAAAAATAATTAAAGAAAATTAAAACTAAAACTGATTTTACTAACAAAATGCAGATATAAATATATAAAATAAAAAAACTTCCAAGAGCAAAAGAAACGAGCAGCAAAGGGAGATAAAAACTCGATGACATTCCAACTCTGGATGGCAAATCTATGGTATGGAGCCAACATCACAGCAAAGGTACCTATTGAAGAAGAACATTGGCCATTTCCATTTTGAACTCGCATAAGAATCCTAGTTATCTGGCGCTTCGGACAGAAAAGTCAAAACCCACCTCGCCATTTGATGATAGTTGAGAATGCACGTAGTCTCGCTCTAACTTAACGAAATCAACACATCATTGTTTAAATCTGATTTCTTGACACGGTCACTCAACACGATCTGGATACACGAGACCAACTTCTGAAGTTTGAGCAAATGTACCCTTCTCTCTCTATGAAGACAACTACTCCACAGCAACTGTTTCTATCTCCTAATTCAGGCAGCCACAGCTTCAAAAAAAAACCTCCTCCAAGAATCAAAAAGTTTCTCCAACCATCCTTCACAACAACAAACCTTAAACTTAAAAACTCTAAGCCCCGGATGGGTGGAACCAGTTTAAAACTAGAAGTTTTGTTCAATTATATTATTGCGAAATTTATCTCTTTGAAATACTTCCTACTAACCAAGCATGATCTATAACTAACGCTTATAATAATTTGTAAGGCTGAAACTATTTATAGTTTCCGCCAGAACAGAATAAATTTAACTTAGCAAACAGTTGCTCATCTCTAAAACAGTTCCTTATGTCTAACCTCTGAAATACGAGTTTACACTAGATCTATTGAATCTAGGAGATATAAGAAAAAGATAAAGATCGGTATTAGACTAAGAAGTTGCACGAATCTATGTGGCCGAAAATAAGATAGCGCGACGAACAGACGGTGTACCGTGTCTGAAATTACTCTATAAGTGAGCCAACCCGGATATAAACTCACAATTGTGATTTCGATGACAACACACGAACTATCATTACTTCTTATAGCAAAATACGCCTAGGATTAAAAAAATAAATTGAACGAGCGACGAAATTTTGGTATATGATTGGCTCTCGATAAAAGTTCAATTTCATATATTTATTAAATCTACATATAATGGAGTTTTCATTTCTTAATTTGATAAGGGTTTCGAATTGCAAATCAGGATTTATATGATTTTAATGGAACATGAAATAACTATTGACTGTGGCTCTTTTATGGGTCCTTTGCAAGTATCCCAAGATAAATCACATTTTAGCACAAGATCATTACCTTTTTAAATTAATATATTTTGGAGTCAAACTTGATCTTTTGACCCTTTTCCAGTCCCCCTTTAATATTTTTCTAAAAATTGATTTAGGAAAGCCGATTTGAAAAGTCTTTTGATGCTCTAAACGGTAATAATTAACACGTCAGCGCAAAAAAGTGACAAAATATGAAATATGTTACCTGTAAAATACCGTTTGAACAATCTTTATGTGATTTTACGAGGGGAGTGGGAAACTTGAAAAGAGCCGAGTGAGAAACTTGAAAAATTCCCCCCTCCTCCTGCTATTTACAAGTGAAATTTCTTTTCACATTCTCCAATTGTCATGAAATATGGCATGCCGACTAATTAATTAGGCCATGACAAATACATGTTTAATTTTCGATTTGAACCCCTCATTGCACCGCAAAACTGATCTTATGAGAGGTGGGAGAGTAAAGGAAAAAGAGCCACAGTTTTTTAAGATAATCTGAAATTCAGTCGTCTCATGTGTGGAGGAAGCGTGGAGATAGAAGATAGGATATGAGGCTTGTTGAGAGAAAAACGGAGAGCGGCAGAGAGGACGAGGGTGGGGGAGGGGAGAGGTTGCACCAATCTGTCGAACAACACCTCACCCCGCAGTTTGTATCCGACGTCGAACATTGGCTGTTATGAGAGCAGATCTGAAATGAAAAATATATAAGCTCTCTGCTAGTGCTACAAAAAGATTCTTTGAGAGCTCCGGTGTAAAAATTAAGTATAAGCACCGCTCTTACTCTGTTCTGTTATTAATAAACTGACTGAAATATATAATTATTGATTAAATGCACATCATCGGTTGTACGTTAAGCGGCAAAAATCTTCCTATGTTTTTCCGAGCGAAAAAAATCGTGGATTCTTTCCTGTTGTGTCATTAAACGCCACTATTTTTGCAAAATCAAGTTTGTTTTCCCAGTCAATAATCATATAAAACTGTTTTCAACCTGCGTGCCTTACAAAAAGTGATGTATAAAACACCTCATATATAAAATTATAGTTTAGCAATTAAAAAGCACCAGCTTGAGCAGACTATGAAGGCTATTCAGCCTGTTTATAGCGCCACAAATGATTTTCGCAATTCTTGATAAATGACTTTTTGAATCATTTAAGATGAAAATGAATACTTGTTGCTTTTGATACTGTAAAACTACATAAAAAATTGAAGTAAAAATGACAAACAATGGTCTAATTTTCAAACAAAATTATTTTTTTTTAATTTTCAAACAAAACAGACACAAAAAAAGTTGTTTTAATACTAGTGGTAAGTTTTTAACAACAGACAGAACAGAAATTTTGTCAATCAAAAATTTTCGATGAAAAATTCTAAGCCATCCATAAAGATATCTCTTAAATTCAACAAAGTCAAGAAGAATCGGTTTCATTCAAATCAAAACTCCTGGAAAAGATGTTGATTAAGGAAGTTGTTGATTCTCATACACATGTTGCTCAAATCACGAATCAATTTGTTCATTTAGTCATGTAATTTATTTCTGACATCTTTGAACTTTTTCCGTTTAAAAATGATTCGTTTGAACAAACTCTGCTGAGGTTGTGAAGCGTTGAACATGGCTGTTTTGCAATGCCAAAAACCAAAAAACCTCGTGGCACATAGGTTGCATAAGTTGCTTCAAAGTTTGCAGTAACAACTTTTTGAATTGTGTTGTCATAAATTGGTGCACTAGAAAATTGAAAAATATATATTACATTTCATTAAGAGCAACATTAGGTTTCAAAAAATGAAACGGTTTTGTCAGTAATTACACCTAAGTTTTTGACTTCTAGTATTACTTTTTTTCCAGAATATGATTTTTTTAAATTTGCGGAAAAATTGTGTTTTTCTTGTAATCAGAAAAAATTTTCAATCAACGCCATCTGTTTTGGTTTCTTTGTAAGGTAATTTTTCATGTTCTGCTTGTTTTGAAAATCCTAACTTATGCTTTTTATTTAGCAAACAAAAATTTTTTTGAAATTTCTACTGTTTCAAACAAACAATTTTTTAGTGTAGGAAAAAATTTGGGCCAAATACTGATCCTCGTGGGACTCCTGTTTCGTCATTTCTCAGATTTGACGAGCAACTTGTTTTCTATCAAAACAGAAAATCATTAGGAGTGGTTGAGTAACCCTTGTATTCGACAATTTGCAAGTAAATTAGAATAAGCAACTGTACCAAAAGCCTTGGACATGCCTTATTACACACAATTTGTAAACTGTCTTCTGTATTTGCACTCAAAAGTATCTTCTGATAGATCTGCTAATAGGCGAAAGCTTTAGAATTTTTGCTTCTTTAACTATATTGTTTGACCGTTATAAAATCACTTTTGGTAAGTTTTTTTCATCAAACTTTTTTGCATAATTTACTAAAAATTTAATGAAAAAAAAATGGCGAGAAGTCGTCCATGGTTCCTACAGGCTAATAAATGCAATTTTTAGATAAAATTATAACTTTTGCAATTTTTGGATAGTGTGTTTAGACCAATCACAAGAAATCACAAATATTGTCAAAAATTTTTGCCAGTTTTAGACAATTGCCACGAAACAAAGAGATAATCATCGAAACATCATTTATCGGTTATGCTTTTTATCTATCGCGTCCTCTGCTGACTGCTCCTCGTTTATCGGATTTTAAAAATTAAAATACATTTTTTTTGGTTTTGCACAGATCTTTCACAATTTAGACTTTTTCAGTCTTCTTAACGAATCTGCTGTTTTTCAGACTTCGATTTTGTTTTGCGAATTTTTTTCAAAATTTCCAGTTTTTTTCCATTTCCATCGTCAATCCAGACGTTGTCAAAGGTTTTTTTATATGTTTGATTGAGTAAATGAAAATAAAATTTTTCTTTTAGTGGTTTGTTTATAGACTTGAGTTCTGTTCTGTTCTGCATTTCAGAGCCAAAACCCAAAATGATTTTTTTCTAAGAAAAATATTGAGGCATTAATTAAACTCTGTATTGTTTTGTTTTCAATGAAACAGTCTTTTAAAATTTGTTTCGATAATTGCGTTTGCATCATAGATTGATTCCAAAAGGTTTAACCAAAAACACACATGGTTGTCAGAAATCCCATTTTACTGAAACTGTAATTTGCAATCACAAATAGCAAACAAAAATATCCTACTTAGGTCTAAAAGAGAACTACTAGCTTCAATTTATGCGGATTACTAGTTTTCTAGAGGCAATAAGGAAATTTATAAAACTTCACTCGATCAACCATAGTATGAGAAGTTCTCACATTTCAATCTCTATATTCAGATCTCCTCATATGATACGCTTCATTTTCACATACAATCAGTAATAATACTGCTCGTATCAGGGCAAAGCTTTGAATTTTCCGACTGATTTTTAAGGTTTATTCTATGAAAATTATCCCCAACACGCCATTTAAAGTACAAACAAATTTCGCTCCTTGTAACAAATCAGTTATGGCAAAGAAGTTACTCTCAACCAATTTGGAACAATTTCTAAGACGGATTAAATATCGCTTACGCCTTAATAGCGCGAAATATATCGCGCGTTAATTGTCCCAAATTGGCCAAAATGGCAATCTTTAAACTCCCATAACTTTACAAAAGCAGTTACCAGATTTTGCAGTTATTTCTTAAACTTCTTTTGTGCAAATCATGTTGATCTTTTTTCCTTTTAACTCCGTTTCTAGCCTGGGTTGCAACACCCACTCATCTTCTCTTTGCAGAAAAAGTTTCAGTTTGGAATCAAAAACTATTAACTGGGTTGTTTTTTCAACTTCCTGGATGACGTTGCTCAACGCAATAAAAACTGCTGTTCTGACGCAGTTTCTGGCACAGCGTTTCATAAAAGTAATTAAAGAAAACAGAAAACAAAACTTTAGTTTCTTGACGAAAAAAAACCGAATGAACTTTGCTGTCTATGATAATTTTGCTAATATTTAGAATCATAACACAAATCCTAGTCGTTTGAAAAAACTAACTACCTTTCAAATATTTTGGTTTTTTTCCTAATGCACCGTTTTGTGTTACAATGGTTTTCTTGATTCTGTTCTAAATAATGATTCTTTTTAACTTTTGGGACATATTTTTTTATTTTAAATTTTTTGTCGAGACCAAAGGGATCTAAAGCATGATTTGATTAGACCGTGTGAACCATTGACACACAATTAGACCGAATTTTTGATGTCAAATGGACTGATTGCAATTTTTGAAATCTAAATACATACCCACGACCTTGACCTGGTTGACTGAGTTGATTGATACAAACTAGATGTTGCAAAAAAAATTTCTAATAAATTAAAATGTTTTGATTGGGATTTTAAGAAACTAATCATATGTCTAACTCGAATGAAAAAAATTTTGCAAAAGGAGTTAAATTTTTTTTTTGAAAAAAAATGTTCTAACATTGGAAACAAAGTAAGAACAACTAATTGTTTTTGTTTGAAAATCATCGATAGTAATAAACGAATCTAAAATGATATTCAAGAGTAAGCAGGAGGATGAAAAATCTTGAATTGCTTCAGGAGCCCCAAAATTATTGTTCAGCTTTTTTAGAATTCAAAATCATAGAAGAAACACTTTCATTAACAGTTTTGATGGACTAGGTTAAAGTTGGGCAGAAACACTCATTCGAGTTCATATAGTATTATCCCGATTGTTCCAGAAAATTTGCCAGAAAGAAACAAAGCGTCAATTTTTGCGCCAATGGTCTCAATGAGTTTCATGATTGTTTTCTAATTTAGTTTCTGTTCAAATTGTTTTTTTTATGATCCCGTGACAAGACTCGTGGACCAAAAGTTTAAGAGTTTGATACCGCGTGAGCTAAATAAATCCAGTGCCAATTTTCGAACTGAATGAGACTACAAAAGCCCGAACATAAAACCTTCACTTTGAACAAATTAACTTCATTTATTGAAAATTTTACCTCATTTCCTCTGCGGGGTTGGCAACCTCTGTGTGTGAAGCTCATTTCTGTTCCGTACATCGTATACGTCTTCACCTATAGAAATTAAGAGCCAATATAAAACCTTGCAAGCAGTATTTTAAGCAGTGGTAGGGTCTTACTTTGTACACAGTTGGATTAGTCATCACATCGGATTTTGGAGTTTGTTTTTGGTGGCATTAATAAGTGGCCGAGAGGAAGAAAGGCACTTACTCGCCCCTAGAAGTTAATGGTACCGCAACAACTCGCAAGAAAAGACAACTCGCAAACGCCTGAAACTTTTGTTTTGATTACTATCGGTTAAGCTTTTCAGAGGAAGCTTTCGGCAAGTCTCATTGCACGACCCTTCTCCTCTCCTCCAATCATCACAACCCCCTTTCTCCGCACGCTACTTGTTTTGAAAAATTTTGGCTTTTCGCTGAATTTATTCATTTTGGCTAAATTTATGCGGAAGTAATTTTTTTGCAACTTCGGCGACATAAGTTTTCACGCATGTTTATTTGTGAACACTTTGTTAACTGCTTTAAAATAGATTTTGTTTTTATTAAAAATGAGTTTTCACGAATGTGTTCATACGTAGCATTCTCCGTCGCATTTTGCACTGGCGTATTGTTGTTGTTGTTTCTGTGAGTGGGGGGAGGAGTAGAGGGCCTGGTTGATTGACACATTGCCCACAACACAACTGCTAGAGGGGTCACTGCTCACACACGCGAAACAGTTGATTGCTGCAAACACACATCAAACACACAGCCACGCCCACTTTTTCAAACAAAAGGAAGACAAAAGGTATTTACACATGGTTTGTAATCTCAAATGGACTCGGGTGAATTTGAAGCGGTTTAATTTGAAGCGAATTATGACACTATTGTCCGAAAAATCACTTGGCTTGTAGAGTTCAATACGGTTACATGGGCTTGTAGAGTTCAATACGGTTACATGGGCTTGTAGTTTAAGATAACCAAAAAATGTATTGTGTTTATTCCCTTTTTTCAGATTTTTTTTCAGCAAAACTTGTTAACTTCATAAAACCTCTTGGTTAGTAAAACATGTCTAGGAATGATATATAAACATATATCATAAAACATGATACTCTCGAAAGCATTTTAGTTTCTGAAAAGTAAATGTACTTATGGTCCAAACACACATTCTTCGACAAGAATCTCGAAGACAGCAGTGACTCACTTTTTAGCACTGGCACTGGTCTGGTTTTCTCTCGATTATCCCTGTACGCCTCCATGATGTTGTCGTAGTGTTGACCATATGTCGGGTAGAAGGTGTCGCCGTAATCTGGTGGCGCAAACAGTGTCTTGCTGTTAGATGTCAGAGATCGCATACCTAAGATTAAGACAAAAGTGGCATTGTGGCATTGATTGAGGCGCAGTATGTTAGCTCCCACGTCAACCACATGATGGCAAGGGTTTGTTAATGCCTATGTAGCACTATCTCAAATTCAAGGGCCCAACTTTAATTTTTAATGTTTGTACAGAGTTTTGGTCGATTATTTTTTTCGATACTATATTTTTAATTAACCTTTCTTTTAATTAGATATATCGCAGTTAAAATAGTATTCTGAAAAATCAATGATTTTCCACCTAAATTAATTCGATGGATTATTTTGTTAATTGATGCTGTTTTATTGTGAATTGTATAAAATCTTTTTTGGAATTATGCAACTGCAAATTACTAGTCTCAATAGTTAAGCTTTGTATGAATTAAGCTTATCAACTTCAGTTATTTTGCGTCTGCAGTTTTATTGCAAACTGAAATGATTATAACCTTTTTTAAAATTTGTTAACTTTCAAGCTTTCCTAGTTTTTTTTTAAATCACTTCTTCTTTCCCTTGCGGTGATTCTTTGCAGAGTTGACGTTTGAAAACAAGCTGTTTCGCACAAGGCTAAAATTTGGTAAATTTTATTTCAAATTGAAACTTCCGTAAAAGTTTACAATCACTCAATGGGCTGTAGTGCAAACACCCGAAGTATCAAACATCCACTAGCTCTAACATCCAAACTAAAATGACGATGTACTCAACATTATGGCCTAAAAAAAGTTCTCTTAATCGGTTTTTAATTTAGAAAAACTGAGCTCTATTATATTGGCTGTGGGATGTCAACCGACAGACTCTTAAATAGTAAAAAAAGGTGTGTAATAATATGAATTGAAAGAGAATTAACCAAGAAGTGTTCTGTATCTTTCACAAAAAAAAAACAAGAGACTGATTTATTCATACAACACCAAGTCACTTAAACGGTCGTCTGGTACCGACCTTGATATCAAACAGCAACACCAAGTTCACTCACTTGAACACTATGACCTTTAGCAACGACACAATAACATAAAGACCTTTTCATTAGGGGTGGCGCTCCTGCCGTACCACACTTCCCTTTCAAAAACTTCTGATCATCAGAAATTATAAATCATAAATTCAAAACGAAGTTTAAAATATGAGTTTTGAATGTTTTAGTCTTAGCTAGTTCTTCAACTTCTGAGTCTGTACTTTGCTCTTTTTGAACACTTTCATTTTCCTTCTCGGAGACGGAGACGATGACAACTCTGCTGCCGACACTGAGACCGTTAACCCACCGGAAAATCCTGGCCTTGACGCTTCTGATACCTATTTTTACCGCATGACGTATGGGACTGCCATAAAATTGTGTCTGCTTCTTACTACGTCCTGAGGTTCGCGAGGACGATGACTCATTCCCATCTTGCTCAGCCGTAGTATCTGGTGTAAATTTAAGCGGGGTATCTGCCGATTTGTTAGGGCTGGTTTCCGGAGTTGATTTTACAACAGTTAGTGGGCAGGACTGCGGCGTAACGCTCGATTCTACCACCTGGTGGTCTTACGAGTATACCGGCATTAATCCAGCTGCACCAGAAACTACCTCTGCACCAGGTTGTATGGTAACTCTCCTGGTCTTATTGTACCTCTCGTTATCAACCTTGATTAAAATTGGGACTGCTTTAGGAACTGATGGTTGGACGACTGGTGAAGAGCTTGCAACTGGAGGGTCGATGACTCCTCCAGAACTCGACGACGACCTCGTTAGGTCCACTATTGGGATTGAAGCTCTAGAAGTCTGGATTGGGTGCTGATTTTGTTTACACCGGGTGCGATCGTACACCGGGTGCGATTGAATGGAAACCGCCGGCACTGCCAACTTTGTCGAGACTGACAACTGTCTCGGGTGCGCTTGAGCCCTGGAACCAACAGTTCGTCCGACGAGGAAGATGATGAGAACTTCCTTTGTCTTTTCATTTTTTTCCCGGTTACTGGCTTGCTGGGTCCTTGCCGAACTGAAACTTGTGAATTGTTCAACCTTAAAGGAATATCATTTTTCCTAATAACTTTTCCCGTATCTGTAAAATAAGTTGAAGTAGTAACTTTAACAGTTCTATCCCAGTAACGTTTAAGTAGTTGTTTCCCTGACTTGGAATTTGCGATTGCCCTGAATACTTCAATTGAATTTGGATTAGATAAGAGCAATGACTCTAGTTTGCATTTGGCGTTAGATTTTGGTGAATCCATAGCGTCTTGTCTCAGAGTTCCAGTTGTTAAACTTTTTCTCAGCGAAGCCGGTAGAAGTTGATTTCTCTCTGTTAGCGTGCGGAGAGCTCGGTTGCTTTTTTTCAAGAGTCAGATTCTTTTTCCAAATCATCCACTCATTCGCTGATTTGGCGAGCTGTTCCAGAGATCTGTAGTAGGGTGTATTTCGATCTGAGCGGTCCACCTTAGGAGAGATACCTCGGCTTTGGTAGCCCTTCCTAACTACTTTGTTGCGAGGCCTGCTGTCGCTCAACTCTCTTCTGTGCTTCGCCGTTAGGTGATCTCTTTCCAAGTTTTGCTCGTCTAAAATTAACTTAAATTTTAAATTGTCGGTCGCTAGCGACCATTCAGAATTCAGTTTCTTGCCAAAATTAAATTCGAAAGGAATAGACCTGTAACTGAATTTTTTCATATCCGAAGATCTTCGACTATCATTTTTGGAGCCAATTGAATATCTGGTGAATTATCCTCCAATTGTAACGTTCCCAATTTCCTTTTAATCATCTGAATTGTACGCTCTACCAATCCACAACAGCGGTGACCTCCGACCGAGGAGAAAATGTGTCTGATTCCTTTTGATATGCAAAATTGATCTACTGCCTTACTTTTAAAACCAAAATATTGGTCCGTTCTGATTGTCTTAGGAATACTATGCGTAAAAATATGGTTTTCCAAGATTTTGTTGGCATTGCAGACGAATATTTAGAATAACAGTCAGTAGCTACCAGGACACTTGGTTACCTACACCATCTGATATTGTGCCCGTTATAGTCTAGCTGAAATTCCTCATTGAAAGCATTTAGTAGAGGAAAAGACTTGTACATTCTAAAAGGACCTAATGGTTTAAGTTTTTATCGAAATTTGTGCATTTTCTGCAATTCTTCCAAAGATTGACAATGTCTCTGTGGATCCTCGGCCATCGCAAATTTTGGGCCGTGTCCACCATCGCCTCTTGGCCAGGGTGATAACGGTGTAAGCGTGAGAGGAGTGCCCGTTGAAGACAACTCGGAATCGCCATTCTGTCATCAATGGTTATGCAGCCGTCCACCACCGCTGCCGAGTCCCAAAAGGTCTTGATGTAGGGGGTCTACTCTGGCAAAGCCTTCGTAGTCCTTGTTTCTTATTGCAATTTTCATCAGTCTTAGCGTTGCATCTTCGTCTGTTAGCTCGCTGAGGATGTCTGCGTCTAGAATGCCTATCAATCCCGGAAGTGACTTTTGGTCTTTGGCGACTATTCTTTGTCGGATGGAAACTCGACTCACATGTTTCATCGCTCGTCTTGGTTTGATTATTCTTTGTTTCCGGAAGTTTGCAATTATGGTGGCCTATTTGGTTCGTCAGATTTCTCCTGCTTCTGCTGACGAGAATTTTTTGGGTCTCTTTGCCCTCTGTCTGCGAATCGGTCTTGAACGACTGAGCAAAATTCTGTTGAGAAGCGCGAATTCGTTCAATAATCTTCTGAAGCTTTCATCCATTATGGGATCTTCCAAAGCATTCGACATATCAAAAAATGGAAAGATTTTTACAAGTTATTGATCCGCTGGTGACTGAATGATATTGACAATTGGGCACAGAAAATATTAATGTTCTAAAAATAGATACAGGAGAAGACTGGGTTTTTTTACAGGAAATGCGAGAATTCTCAGGAAATCTGCCGGAACATTGAGTACGATATCTCGGATCTGATTGGTTCCCGTTTTTGCATAAATTAACTTCGCTTTCTCTCGGAGGATGTATTTTATATAGATTTCTTCAATCAGATTGGTTCTGATTGGATCTGATCTGTACATAAACTACCTGCATCCTCACGTGGCGAGCAACCATATTACCGTTTACTCGATAGTGATTGGCTAGATTCTGTGCATAAATTAGTGACGCCCTCTCGCGGTTTGCATCTATAGATAAGTTTACTGAGCTGTGATTGGTTGAGGTTTGTGCATAAATTAGTGGCGCCCTCTCGCAGTATGTATCTATAATTAGCCCTCTTTTCTGAATGGATAAAAATATTGGATAAAATCCTGTCGCCCTCTAGTGGATTTATTTAATTGTTGGAATTCTTGGTCTGAAAATACCAATCTATGTGCAAGATATTGTTTGTTACAAAGGATGCTTTTTGATACCTCCTGATTAAAAACTAGACTAGGAACATAATTAAACTATTTGTAAAGCTTTTCGATTTTTGGGCAAGCAGAAAAGAAATTTTGAATCGACCTAACAACGAATTGTTCATCGAAATTTGATGGTTGGGGAGCTTCAAATATTGGGTGACGAGAAAAATAATCGACTATACCTAGTTTTGTTCCGCAATATGTGTAACTTTGAAATCGAATCGTAATAGTCTGTCTGCCCATCTGGTCAGTCGAGACTGATAGGATTTATTAACCTCTGTTTGACTGAAAAGCTGATATAATGGCTTTCTGGTCGGTTATATCTCAAATCTGTTCCCCAATAAATAGTTCCAGAAATGTTCGCATGACCATACTATAGCAAGTAATTCTAATTTATTAGTGCTGTATTTCTTTTCCTGAGCATTCAAAAATCTAGAAGCAAATGAATGATATTGAAAACCAGGAACCATCTGGTAATTCTTGTTCTAAGGCTGCACCTAGTCCGCTGTTACTAGCGTCGCTTTTCACCCTGAAATTCCTCTATGGGTCGTAATGATACATTTTTGTGATGTTTGAAGTTAGTTTGAGTGTGTCTTCGAAAGCCTTTTGTTGTTCTGCTCTCCACACGAGTTTTTGTTTATTGCTCATTTTTAACGAAGGTCTGAACTGTTCGGTCAGAA